AATGAATGATTTCTGTTTTAGATTGTTATCCAGTTTGTACTCCTGAATATTGTGCTATTTATAGAAGAGGAACATGTTCAGTGTAAGTATCATCAGTCACATGACCACACAGTTCATGATGTTCTTCTCCTTACAGACCCTCATCTCCTCCTGGTAGTACTCAAGGGTGTCCTGGAGGATGTGCTATATCCAATTGTGGTGCTTGTTATTATTCATATAATGATCTACCATTCCCTCCATTACCTGGTTCTTGTCCTAGTATGTGTCCATTGGTTAATGGTCAAGTGGATGAGTCCTGCATGGCAAGATGGGGACAGTGTGTCCAGAGATCATATTATACCATTTATAAAACTGTGAGTTGTATACTAATCAATAATATTGTGTTTCTATTTTCTAAATTATTTTCTTTTCAAAGGTTTCTGAGCGTGAGAGGTTTAAAGATAACTTCCGCTGCTGGCCTCATCAATGCTAATATTAACTAGACAATAACTAGTAAAAGACTATTGTTATGATTTTCTTTTTGTTAGATCTAGTTCATCAATAATTGTAGTTGATGATTTATAATAAACTAGAATGACCTAAGTCCCACTAAAAGCAATAAAATAGTTTAACGTGCATAAAAAGTATAAGAAAAAGAGATATTATAGAATAGAGGGACAGAAACATTGATCTTAAAGAAATTATGATTGAAGGATTGTGGTGGTTTGCAGTGACATAATATTAGGAAGCCCTTTGTGCTAATTGTGATGTCCAATATGCAATATGATTACTGTATGCCTGCAATACGGGATGGGGGCTATGAGTTTTACCATGCCATTATATTCTAATGTATGTATCTAGTAAATGTGTGTAGATTATGCTTATAATTGAGTGGAGTTTCAGTATTGCAAACTGGAGCATTCTCCAGCCTACATTCATTGGGGTGAATCAATGGCAGGGAAGGGTCTGGTGCAATGCTGGTCTGGCTTGCATGACTAATGGAGTTTTAAATTGTTTTCCTGGAGCAGTTATTCACTAGATGTGAACAACTGAACATCTATTTTTAATGAGGGCTGATAGAGGCAATCCATTAATAATAGACAAACACTTTATTAGATCTAGCAGAAACTAGGAATTATATCATGCATGACCTAATCATCTATGATATCTATATCATTTATGATGCATTCTTTTATGCTCATTGGGTGTGGACTGTATGTGGTCATGCACATAAAATTTATTAATCAACCTTTATATTAGTGTGTCACTGAGGCTGTTTCTCTAGTTAAGAATTGAAGATGATGATTCTCTCCTTTTTGTTTGCTCTTTTATTATGCCTGCAATTAGGTCATGGTAAGTAAATATCACTTTTAATTCTAGTAGATTCCAGATCTAGCCTGTATGAATAACTATTTTATATTTTAGGAGAGATTTATAATAATTCTGCTACTAGTTTTTACTTTGGATTAATGAGAAATGATGGATGGCTTACAATTTCAACTTTGTCTCCTCTCAACGTCACATATAACATCACTGTTCCATCGTTAAATTATACTCATAATGGAACAGTAACAAAGAATAGACCAGATACACATGTATATCTTTCTTCAAGCTTCTATACACATTCCAGTTCTTTTGTAGATCGTTTTAAGGGAATTCATTTGACAAGTGATCAACCGATAAGTGTGTCTTCTACCATGCCTAGTTGTAATTGACCAATCAGATTGCTTGGTTGTAGGTTCATAAATAACTAACTTACCTCTGATTTCCCGGGAGGTTAATAAATAATTTCCCGGGAGGTTGAATAAGTAGCCCGGGAGGTTGAATAAGTAAATTCCCGGGAGGTTGAATAAATAATTTCCCGGTAAATTAAATAATACGATTAATTGATTACTTGTGTATTTTAAATTATAGTTTTGTGTTATTTGGTATTGTTTTAATAGTTTATAGTAATATTTG